GTCTAGAGAGGAGCTGGGAGGAGAAGGCTTGTACCCCCCCAGGCCTCAGTGCAGCATCCTGAGCAACCTGCCCACGGATGTCCTGCCCGCCATCCTAAAAGTCTCGGTCACTCCCACATTGCTATTGTGCGTCCCCATCTCCAGGTGCTCTACACATGCTGTTCCTCCCTCCTGCTGGCTTATTTTGTCTTTTTCTTCTGCTCTGTTAACTCCCTATCCTTCAGATGTCGACTGAGATGTCACCGCCCTGAGGACTGCTTCCTGGCGCCCCCCACTGTGGTGGGCTGAATAGTGGTCCTCCAGAAGGTGTCTAGCTCCTCCTAGTCCCTGGAACCTGTGGATGTTCACTTATGTGGCAAAAAAAAAAAAAAAGACTTAGGTGTGATTAAGTTAAGGTTCCAGGGGCACCTGGGTGTCTCAGTCGGTGAAGCAACCAACTCTTTATTTCGGCTCGGGTCATGATCTCAGAATTGTGGGATCGTGCCTGGTATCTGGCCCCATACTGGGCGTGGAGTCTGCTTAAGATTCTCTCTCTCCCTCTTCCTCTGCCCCGCTCCCCCGAAAAAAGTTAAGGGTCCATGATGGGGAAATTACCTTGATTATCCAGGCAGGACCTAAATGTAACCACAAATGTCTTTGTAAGAGGGTAGCCGAGGGGGATTTGAGACAGAAGCGGAGAAGACGGGGCGCCCAGGTGGGTCAGTTGGTTAAGTGTCTGCCTTCAGCTCAGGTCATGATCCACCGCAGACCTTCCAAGCAATAGATCTTCGACGCTTCTCTTCCTCAGGCATCCCAGGTCCCCATGAAAAGAATCAGTCTATGGGGTTACGTGGCAATTAAAAGTGAAGCCCAGGGCGCCTGGGTGGCTCAGTTGGTTAAACGTCTGCCTTCGGCTCAGGTCATGATCCCAGAGTCCCAGGATCGAGCCCCGCATCGGGCTCCCTGCTCAGCGGGGAGCCTGCTTCTCCCTCTCCCTCTGCCCCTCTCCTGCTTTCTCTCTCTCTCTCTCAAATAAATAAAATCTTTATATAAAAAAAAGTGAAGCCCAGTGCTCACTTTGGTGGCACAGATACTAAAAGTGAGGCCCGCATTTGAGAGCCTGTCCTGTGGGTGGCCCAGGTGTGTTAAAAGATAAACTGATAAACTGAGGCACGCTTAAATTTTCGGTTTCTTGGAGCCTAAGGCAATGGGAACTGGGCAGCGCCAAACCGGAAGTGGTGAGGAGAGCTCCGGACAGGAGCTGGGGGCAAGTCTTTCCTAGGGCAGATGGGAAGTGAAGGGAGGAGATTATTTGATTGGCTAGAGCTGAAGCGGTGGCCTTACCGGGAAAGCCTAGTTGGCTGTTTGTGATGGGTATTCTGACATTTCGATTTCTTGGATACAAGTGCATTGCTCTGGCTTAGGTTTCGGTTTGCTTACTGAGGCTACTGAGGTATCAGAACCACCTTGGTCTCATGGCCTCCTTGTCTAAGTACTTTTAACAGGTGGTATTCGAACTTTGCCCTCTTAATCAGAGTCACCAAATGCACACCTCTAGCATCATTCAGTCCCCGTCCTGTGTGACATCATGAACGGGCACACCCTTGTGTGTGATGCCAGAAGCATCCCCATCCCAGTGTATAACCCCAGGAGTGCCTACCCCCCAAGTGTGTGACACCAACAGTGTCCACACCCTAGACTATGATAGTGAGTGTTCAACGTGAGTGACCCCAGAGGTGTGTGACCAGCGTGTGTGACCCCAGTAGTGTCCAAATACCCATTTGGGTGATTGCGGGGGTGTCCACACCCAGTCTGTGGGACCCCAGAGATTTCTACTCTCCAGTGTGTGTGATGGATGCCTTGGAGTGTTCATACCTCTGCATGACCCTGTGTCTGTCTCACTCCAGTGTGAGTGACTCCAGGAATGTCCAAACCTCCATCTTGGTGACCCCATGTCTGTCCACACCTGCTCATTCTTACCTCATAGTTGTCTACACCTTAGGCTGTCTGAGCCCAGAAGGGCTCACGTCCCCGCCTGAGTGATCCCAAAAGCTCCACAATCCAGTCTGCTATCTGACCCCTGGGATGGCCACATCCTGATATGTGTGACCCTGTGAATGTCTACTAGCCAGGCTAGGTGACTCAGGAGTGTCTCCTCCTTAGCATGTGTGACTCTAGAAGTGTCCACACACAAATCTGTTTGACTGTAGGACCGCCCACACCCCAGTTTGTCTGACTACAATAGTGTCAACACACTAGTCAATCTGACTCCAGAAATGTCTACAACCCACTCTGGGCGACCCCAAGAGTGTGCAGTCTCCAGTGTGTGTGATTCAAGGAGTATCCACTCCCTAGTGCATGTGACTTCTGGATTGCCCAGACCCCCGTTGGTGTAACCCAAGGCTGTCCACTCCCCAGTGCATGCTACCTCGTGTGGTGGCCACATCCCTGTCTCTGTGACCCCCCCCAGGGTGTCCACAAAACAGTCTCACAGTGGTATATTCCAAGACAGTACTGGATTCCTCAGTGCCGCTGCTCCGGCCCGCCCTCTGTGGGTGGGACCTGCGAGGGGCTCTTCATGCCTAATTCAGTGGACCATTGTCCCTAGCTCCCGCCCACTCCATTAAGTGGCTTTTCTAATCCTATTTCCCCTCACTCTCTCCAGGGGACCATTGAAATGCCATATCCTCCTCCCCGACCACACACACATCTGTCCACATCCCCAAAGAGACTGTCCGAGCCCCAGACCCTGTGGATCAGAGAGAGAGCCAAGGCCAATGCAGCCGGCCTCCTGCCACAGACTCCGCCCCGCAGGGAGGAGTGGAGAGAAAGCCAATAAAGGCACCGCTGATGGGAGTAAAACCTTCCAGAATCTTGTGAAACATCTAGGGAAATCAACTTTTTACACCCTTTTCTTCCCCAACTAGAATGTAGGCTCCACGTGGGCAAGGACACTTGTCCCATCCAGTTCTTTGATGTCTCTCCAGCACCTACGTACGCTCCTTAGGTGTTCGGCATATGAATGAACCCTCTGACCCAGCAATTCCACTTCTAACTCCACCTAACACGTACACACATTCTCCGAGCTGTGTGCACAAGGCTGGTAGGAGCGAACAATTGGGACAACCTTATAAATCTGCACATAGAGCCGATGCCTATTGCAGAGTGAAAGAAATGCTGGGGGTTAGTGTTCTACCACAGGGCACCCACTGCACATGAGGCAGGATGGGTGGGACGTGTGGGTGCTTATGGGAGCGGGGGTGCCTTCTGCAGGACAGGCCATTGACAAGGAAAAGCAGGTGGGAGTTGGTCATGGTGGGGTGTGTGTGTGTGTGTGTGTGTGTGTGTGTGTGTGTGTAAGGAAACACCAGAAACTGACCTCAGTGGTAATTTTTGGAGTCTGGAGGTGGAAATGACCTTGTAGTCCATATACGGATATACTGTTAAAACCTTTTATTCAAACCTATATTCATGTGTTATAAGGGAAAATCATATGCCAAAATCAATATGCATAGCATAGAGAACTTGTATGTGTGTGTGGGGGGGTACTTGGGGTGTGCCTAGGAACAAGAATCTCAAACTCACATGTCCCAGGGGCTAGACCAGTAACCCCCAAGAGAGAGGGAACTCAGTTCAGGGGAAGGTCAACAGCAGTGGGACTGATGAATGGTCCCTGCCTCTCAGCAGTGCAGGGAGAGGGCGTGGTAAGGGATGGATGGGGATGGGGAAAACCTCAAAGCTCACACCCCAGAAGAACTCAGAAACATTGCACCCTGGGACACAGAACACTTAATAGCTTAAGAGATCTTGGCTCAGAAACAGACCCCCAAGTCAGTGGTCATACGCTAACTCAGACAGCTTTCAACTTCACACGCTGGACACAAACTCTGACTCCCAAACAGATCAGCGCTCTCACACTCTGGGAACACAAGCCTACATAGACCAGAGGCCTCACACCCTAGAATAAAGATCCCCTCGCCGTACCTGGGATGGGCAGTTTTTTTATTATTACAATGTAAGCCCTTACACACACACCTTGTAATGGACTGTTTGTGTCCCCCCAAATTCATATGTTGAAGTCCCAGCCCCCAACGTGATGGTATTAGGAGGTGAAGCCTTTGCATGGTGGGGGTGATTAGGGTTTCAATGAGGTCATGAGGGTGGGGTCTTCGATATGGGATTAGTACCCTTACAAGAAGAGACCAGAGGGCGCTTGGGTGACTCAGTTGGTTAAGCGACTGCCTTCGGCTCAGGTCATGATCCTGGAGTCCCTGGATCGAGTCCCGCATCGGGCTCCCTGATGAGCGGGGAGTCTGCTTCTCCCTCTGACCCTCCCCGCTCTCATGTGCTCTCTCTCAAAATAAATAAAATTCTCTCTCTCAAAATAAATAAAATCTTTTTTTTAAAAGATTTTATTTATTTATTTGACAGAGATAGAGAGAGAGCACAAGTAGGCAGAGAGGCAGGCAGAGGGAGAGGGAGAAGCAGGCTCTCCACCGAGCAGGGAGCCCGATGCGGGACTCGATCCTGGGACTCCAGGATCATGACCTGAGCCGAAGGCAGTCGCCTAACCAACTGAGCCACCCAGGCACCCAAAATAAATAAAATCTTAAAAAAAAAAAAGAGAGACCAGAGAGGCTACTCTTTCTCTCCGCCATGTGAGGACACAGAGAGAAGGTGGTCATCCTCAAGCCAGGAAGAGAGACGTCACCAGCACGTCACCCTGCTGGTACCCCAATCTCAGACTTCTGGCCCCCAGAACGGTGAGAGAATTAATTTCTGTTGTTTAAGCCCCCCGGTCTGTGGTATTCTGTTATGGCAGCCTGAGCCGACGAAGTCAGACCTCAAGCTTGTACTTCCGGGGTCCTGAGTTTTCTATCAGAGCCCTTGCACTCGTACCGCCTACCTCTGTCACCACCAGCATTCCTCAGCCCGTGGCCTTCCCATTCGTGCCCCTTGATCTCCGGGCACTGAGCCAGAGCGTTGTCTGGAGGCTCCAGGGCAAGGACACCTTGCCTGCCATGCTATGCCGTCTGCCCTCCAGGCTGCCAGCCAGGATGTGGGGCAGAACTTCCCAGAAGCAGTGAGTGGGGTAGTCCCAGGGGCCTGGGGCATGGGTGTTCACACTAAGGTTGGGGATCCCCCAGCCCAAGCCTGCTAACCTGCTTCCCTTCTTTGTGGACTATCCTGGGGTGCTGACAACCATTTTTCCATCCTCCTGTCTCTTCTGCTTTCAAAGACAAGCAGAGGGCAGCAGAGGGACACGGAAAGGCCCTGTTCCACTGTGGTCAGCAACATGCCTGCAAGAATGGGCCTGGGCTGAGGGCTGACTGCTCTGCCCCCTCAGGGTGGCTCCAGGAAGCCAGTTCAGCCAGGAATGTCATGATGGGGCAGTGTGGGAAGGGACCAGGGAACCGGGCACTGACCTTGAGGTTCATGGATTCTGTAGAAAAATAGGAGGCAGGAGAGAGGGCATCATGTTCTGGGCACTCTATTACAGAGTGTTACTGTGAGGAATAAAATGTATTTCATATAGTGCTTAGAATCAGGGCTTGGCACAGAGTAAGCCTTATATGATTACTACGTCCTGAGGATGCTTTTATTTCCTTTTTAAGATTTTATTTATTTTTTGACAGAGAGAGAGAGACAGCAAAAGAGGGAACACAAGCAGGGGGAGTGGGAGAGGGAGAAGCAGGCTTTCCACTGAGCAGGGAGCCCGATGCGGGGCTCGATCCCAGGATCCTGGGATCATGACCTGAGCCGAAGGCAGACACTTAACGACTGAGCCACCCAGGCGCCCCAGCAAGGATCCTTTTATAAACCAGCCTCCCTAATGTCACTTCAACAACCCTGAACTATCTGTCCCTTGCCTTCCCTGCCTGTTCAGCCTCACTCACTCTTGGATTTTAAACCACACTAGCCTTCTTCTGATTCTTTAAGAGAACCAGCCCTGCTCATCCTTGAATTTGTGAGGACGGACCTCCTTGTCTGCAAAACAGGGTCTGTGGGCGTGAGTCTGAGCTGGCAGGGCACTGAGAAATGGGAGAAATGGGTTGAGTTGATTTCCAATATACTACCAAAATCGAAGGAGGGGGTGCGGCTAAAGCAGTGCATAGGGAGAAATCTATAGTTCTAAATGCATAGATCAGGAAAGTCGGAAACCAATGACCTGAACCTTAAAAAAAAAAAAAAAAAAGGCACCTGGGTTGCTCAGTTGGTAGAGTGTCTGCCTTTGGGTCAGGTCATGATCCCAGGGTCCTGGGATCGAGCCCCGCATCAGGCTCCTTGCTCGGCGGGGAGCCGGCTTCTCCCTCTGCCCCATCCCCCTGCTTGTGTTTGTGCTCTCTCTCACTGTCAAATAAATAAAAATAAAACCTTTAAATAAAAAAACAAAACCAATTACCTGAGCTTCCATATCAAGAAGCTGGAAAAGGAACAGCAAACTGAACCCCGAGAAAGGGGAAGGAAGGAAGGAATTCTAAAGATATAAGCAGAAACGGGTGAAACAGAAAGCAAGCATCCATTGGATACAGTCAACAAGGTCATAACTTGGCTCTTTGAACACAGTAATAAAATATTAGTAATTTCTGTTTTCTCTCAAGCAATTAAGAGAAAAAATATAAACTACCAGTATCAGGAATGAAAAGGGGGTGCTGTTATAGATCCTACAGACATTAAAATGTTTTTAACATACAACTTTATTTTCAATGGAGCCCAAAGGTCAATTTCTCATTCTACTGCTTGTGTGTTCCCACAGATCCTCTGTATCCATGAGGACAGCAGAGCTCAGCAACTTTGCTAATGCTTCCCCCACTGATGAGAATAGAACAGCACAGTATTTTTTTTTAAGTTGGGGCTCAGTGCAATCAATTGTGTAAAATGTAATGGTTTGAATGGACTTGAACACAGTCAAATGGAATGAATAAAATAGTATGGAATGGAATGGAATGGAATGGAATGGAATGGAATGGAATGGAATGGAATAGGAGTAGAAGTCAGACTTTGTGCTAGGCACTGGGCCTAATTGTTGTAGTAGATACCCACTAATTGAGCAAATATTATTGAACATCTGCTGGTTGTTTGCAACACAGTGGGGAACAAAACAGAGAGAAATATCTGCCCTTATGTAGCTTATATTCTAGTCAGAGAGCCAGATATTAGCATATGCATTAGATACGCATCCAACTCTGAGGCCAAAGATACAAAGATGGCCCTTATGAGGAACAGGCAAAAGGACAATGTAGCTTGAGATGGATGAGGCTGTAGAGACTAGGGGCCATGCTAGGGTGTCTGAAATTTAACAAGATGACCACGACAACATCATCATCATCACCGTGAACTCTTACAGCACTGGCTATGTGCCAGGCATTGTTCTAAGCCCTTAAAAACCCAACTCTTTTTTTTAAATGTTCACAGTAATCTTATATGTCTAAAACCATGCACATTTTACAGAAGGGGAAACCAAGGCACAGAGAGATTAATTAAACATCAGTCTGGCTCCCAGAATCTGTTCTTTTAACCACAACACTCTGCTATTATGCCAGACCACAGGCACCTTATAACCTTGTAGCAGATGTCGTGTAAATATACAAATTACTAAAGAATGCAAATCAAGAGAAAGATCCGGTGGAAAGTGTGCTGAGGGCAGGAAGTAAGAAGGGGGGGAGTTGTGTCCTCCCACTGGGCATCAAGGTGGATCTATAAACACACATGCCTAGAAACATTTATGTCATCTGAGATGCTCCCTTCCTGTCCTGGCATAGCTGAGGAGAAAAAGGGGACTGGGTTTAACTGGCCAACGGAGGGCTTGTACTCACAGTCTTGGGCCTCCTCTGTGTCTTGTCATTTCTTGCAAAAGAGAGGAATTCCAGTTTGGGGACAACAAGAGATGATTTGGTCTTGGTCTTCATCGTATCCCTTACCTTCATCTCTATCCCTCTACAAGGGGAAAGAAAGAGAACAGGAAAACAGTAGAGAGGGGCACGTGGGTGGCTCAGTCGTTGAAGCATCCGCCTTCGGCTTCGGTCACGATCCCAGGCTCCTGGGATGGAGCTCCACGTCGTCGGGCTCCCTGCTCAGCGGGAAGCCTGCTTCTTCCTCCCCTTCCTCCTCCCCCTGCTTGTGTTCCCTCCCTCGCTGTCTCTGTCAAATAAATAAATAAAATCCTAAATAAAAAAAGAAAACGGTAGAGAGTGGTCATGGCGGACTCTTATGAATCCACACATGGGTGATAAGATTTGACTCAAGTGGGCACCTGGGTGGCTCAGTCAGTTAAACATCTGCCTTAGGCTCAGGTCATGACCCACGATCCCAGGGTCCTGGGATCAAGGCCCGCATTGGGATCCCTGTTCAGCAGGGAGTCTGCTTCTCCCTCTCCCTCTGCTGCTCCCGCTGCTTGTGCTCTCTCTTTCTCAGATAAATAAAATCTTTAAAACAAAACAAAACACTCTACTCAAGTTTCCTCTCAGGACTTTCCCCTGGAAATGGGGTTGAGGAGGAAGTATAGTCCTTGTGGAGATGAGGGGAGGTGAAGAGAAGGAAACAGGAAACATGGGTGTGACCAGAGGCAATGTGATCTCTTTCGAATTTTTTTTCTTAAGTCGCGGAGGAACAGCAGTCAGACTCTTTCACCATGCCTTATCCATAGGCTTGACCATATTGTGATGACGGTAAAGAGTATCAAAGACACCACCATGTTTTATTCCAAGATCCTGGGCATGGAAGTCACAACTTTCAAGGTAATCACTTTCTCAAGTACAAACTGCAAGTGAAGTAGAATTTGGTTATAATACTCTTAATCCCTCCCCCTAAAAACACCCTACAGGAAATCTGTGAGAAAAAAGGATCAATGTAGGAGATTCCAAACTCTGAAAAGTAGAACTTCCAGAGAGAGAATAGAGAAAAAGGAGGGGAGGAAATTGCCATAAAAGTAATGCAAGAGAATGTTCCAGTTTTTATGCAGAAAGGGTTAACTGAGCATCCAGCACGAAGTACCACTACACAGAATAAGAATGAATCTTACAAATACAAGAGTGAATAAAAGAAGAAACAATATTGACATATTTATTTTATTATGTTATGCTAGTCACCATACATTACATCATTAGTTTTTGATGTCGTGTTCCATGATTCATTGTTTGCATGTAACACCCAGTGCTCCATTCAATACGTGCCCTCCTTAATACCCATCACCAGGCTCACCCATCCTCCCAACCCCTTCCCCTCTAGAACCCTCAGTTTGTTTCTCAGAGTCCACAGTCTCTCATGGTTCGTCTCCCCCTCCGATTTCTCCCCCTTCATTTTTCCCTTCGTACTTTTTTTTTTTTTTTTAACATATAATGTACTATTTGTTTCAGGGGTATGGGTCTGTGATTCATCAGTCTTACACAATTCACAGCACTCACCATGGCACATACCCTCCCCAATGTCCATCACCCAGCCACCCCATCCCTCCCACCCCCCACCACTCCAGCAACCCTCAGTTTGTTTCCTGAGATTGAGTCTCCTATGGTTTGTCTCCCTCTCTGGTTTTGTCTTGTTTCATTTTTCCCCTCCCTTCCCCTATGATCCTGTCTTGTTTCTCAAATTCCTCATATCAGTGAGATCATATGATACTTGTCTTTCTCTGATTGACTTATTTCACTTAGCATAATACCTTTAGTTCCATCCATGTCATTGCAAATGGCAAGACTTCGGGTTTTTTGATGGCTGCATAATATTCCATTGTGTATATATATAGATATATATATCTATATATATCACATCTGACACTGAGATATGTTGTTATGAAATTATAGAACATCAAAGTGGAAATGAATATCCTAAGATCTTTCAAAGAGGTTAAAAAGAAAAGTAGCTCTGTCAGTAGAGCTCGCCACTCTTGATTTCACGGTAATGAGTTCGAGCGCCACGTTGGGCATGGAGCCTACTTTTAAAAAAAAAGAAAGAAAGAAAGAAAAAGAAAAGTAATTCAACCACAAAGGGAAAAGAAATAATGCAGACACCAGATTGCCCAAGAGTCACATCAGAGACCAGAAGACAATAGAACAATTTCAAGATTCTGAGGGGAAATTCTATGTCCAGCCAAACTATTAATCAAGGTGAGTGTAGAATAAAACATTCTTAGATATATGGGGGCACCTGCCTGGCTCAGTCTGTAGAGCATGTGACTCTTGATCTCGGGTTGTGAGTTCAAGCCCCACATTTGGCACAGAGTTTCCTTAAAAAAAATCGTAGATATAAAAAGAGTCAGAAACCTTGCCCACTTGCTTTGAAAATTCCTTGAGAGCATCTACATCAAAATGAGTGATTAAACCAGGTTTAGGGAAGACATCAAAGTCAGGACACATTGGCTCCCAAGAGGAAGGTCCCAGAAAGATACCTAGAAAACACTCAGTCCAGTTTGGAACAGGAGAAAAAAAAGGTCCCAAGAAAGAGAGAGAGCCAAAGGAAAAAAGCGAAATAAGGTCATTTTCTGGTAGAATGGATGAGGTATCAGCCACAGTGATAGAAGAGAAAGATGTAGGAAAATGATAAAAGGAAAGAAAGAGGTGGCGAGGGTGGGGACATGAAGAGGGCGGGAGGGCCAGTGAGATACTAGCTGTAGTTCATCTCTCAAAACATAAAGACGCAAGTGGGTCTTTTAAAAATTATAAAGGAACTAAAAGAGGAACTACAAATGATGATAGAATTCTATGGGGGGGGGGAGTAATACGGATGAGCTAAATTCTTGTTTATCCGAGCAGGGAGAGGAGTGAAAATGTCTCAAGTTGCTAAATCAAGAAAACGGCTAAAGTTGCCCATTATCAGTCACTGACTGTGTCTGGAGGTACATAGGAGAAAACTCAACGAACAGTGGGTGAAAGAAGATCGAGTTTTCTTTTTCTCCCATTTAACAACCTCTGTAGAAAGTTGGGGCTCAGCCAGAGTCTGGGAAGGAAGAGAACATGAATGGGCCAGAGGTGCCGGTCAGTGGGACCCGGAGGTTTCTGGAAGCTCCATCCGCAACCTCTGCGGACATCTCATTGTCCAGTCCATCTTACATGCACCACCCCCCAGCAAGGAATGCTGGGAAATGTAGGCTTTTTAAGCCGGGCACACAATTGACCCCGTTGAAATTTGGGTTGTTTATAAGAAAAAAGGGAGAAATGTGTATTATATTGTATACTAAGTAAATGTATATTAAGACAAATTGCTGTCTCTGCCACGGGTAGTATTTACATATTATTTGAAGATAATGCAAATAATTTCCAGAAGAAATACACAGACACACACACAGACACACAGACACACACACACAGACACACACACACACACACACACACGCTGAAAGCAGTTGCCTCTAGGGAATGAGACTAGGCTGGGGTGGGGCGAGGGGCTGTTGTTTTTAATTAAAAGCCCCGTTGTACTTTGTTTTAACCTTGTTGGGATAGGTAGGGGGCTTTGTCTCATGCTCATCTTGGGGGTTTAGTTCTTCCTCCCCAAAGAGGGTGACCTGACAGTTAAGCATCTGCCTTCAGCTCGGGTCATGATGCCGGGGTCCTGGAATCGAGCCCCACATTGGGCTCCCTGTCAGCAGGGAGCCTGCTTCTCCCTCTGCCTCTGCCCACCACTCCCCCTGCTTGTGCCCTCACTCTCGCTCTGTTAAATTATTAAATAAATCTTAAAACAAAAAAAATAGGGTGACCGGAAAGCATTGTGTTTTGGAGACCAGAAACTGAACCTCCACAAGGTGGGAAAGGAATCTGAACCCAAAGCTGCTCACCCAGTTCCTGGCTCCGTGGACATATGCCTGATCACAGAGACACCTTTGGAGGAAGTGGTCGCCCACCTCAAAGTGAGTGGGATGTTGGTTCTCTTCAAGAAAGCTGCGACTGGTACAGTGGAAACAGGAGCATGAGCCAGTCAGGTTTTCCTCAAATTTCAGACATAACAAGTTTTGTCACTTCCAGATAATGCTGGTACACAACTGTTTGCTTATTATTTTTGCTGACATCATTGTTTCATGTAAACAAATCTATTTTAAAGGGGACCATTACAGGGGCGCCTGGGTGGCTCAGTCGTTAAGCGTCTGCCTTCGGCTCAGGTCATGACCCCAGGGTCCTGGGATCGAGCCCCGCATCGGGCTCCCTGCTCCGCGGGAAGCCTGCTTCTCCCTCTCCCACTCCCCCTGCTTGTGTTCCCTCTCTCGCTGTGTCTCTCTCTGTCAAAAAATAAATTAAAAAATCTTTTAAAAAAAGGGAAACATTACATCCTTTTTAAAAAGATTTTATTTATTCATTTGAGAGAGCGCATGAGCAGGGGGAGGGACAGAGGGAAAGGGAGAAGCAGGCTCCCACTGAGCAGGGAGCCCGATGCGGGACTCGATCCCGGGACTCTGGGATCATGACCTGAGCCGAAGGCAGTCGCTTAACCAACTGAGCCACCCAGGCGCCCCACATTACATCATTCTTGTAAAAAAAAAAATACAAACTTAAATTCTTTTTACAGAAACACATTTCTGTAAAAAGCCAAAGTTTGACCAATTACATGAAAAGCCCATCATATCTTGACACAAAGGGAAGTTAACTTGTAAAACACAAACAGCTATAAAAATACCAGTCGTGGGGCGCCTGAGTGGCTCAGTCAGTTAAGCGTCTGGCTTCGGCTCAGGTCATGATCCCAGGGTCCTGGGATCGAGCCTGGCGTGGGGGCTCCCTGCTCAGGGGGGGAGTCTGCTTCTCCCTCTGCCCCTCCCCCTGCTTGTGTTATCTCTCTCTCTCTCTCTCTCTCTCTCACTGGCTCTCTCTCAAATAAATAAATAAAATCTTATCCACTTCCTTTCTCTGAACCCTCTGGGCCTGACATTACAAAGGGAGATTTGGCAAATGGTTGAGGAGGTGCTAAGGACTTGTTTAGCATCCACCAGAGCCTTGCTTCTTGATATAATCAGAAGAATTGAAATAGGGGGCGTCTGGCTGGCTCAGTCAGAAGAGTATGCAACTCTTGATTGCAGGGCTGTGAGTTCGAGCCCCACATTGGGTGTAGAAATTACTTAGTAAGAAAAAAAAAGGACTGAAATAGGATTGAAGAGGGAATATTTAAAGGGGTGTCCCTCTAACACTTAAAATGATTTCATGTAAGGGAAGCATTGCTTCTCCTTTTGGCGAACACAGATTAAGGTTTTGCTTATAATCTTTCTTTGGAAAGTATCAGTGGAAAAGGCCGGTTCAGAAGTAAAGTGGGGAAAGCACAGGGGGTTAAAAGCATGGACTTTGGTCCAGACTACCTGGGTTTGAACTCTGACTCTGCCACTTACTAGCTAATATTAGGTACCATTATCATCCCCACTTTACAGATGAGGAAACTGAGGCACAGAGCAGTTAGGTACTATGCCTGAAGCCGTACAGCTGGTCCATGGCTGGAGCAGAGTGAGGAAGGGGAGACTGGCAGGAGATGAAGTGAGAAAGATATCAGGGGCCTTCTGGGGATTAAATTTTGGTCTCACACATAAACTATGATGAATGACTTTTGTCTTTCCCTCCCATTTCAGGCTTGTGAGGTTCCCACTGAGGAGGGTCCGGTCCCCAGAACAGGGGCAAAAGGACCCATTATGTCCACCTACTTCCGAGACCCTGATGGAAACCTGACTGAGGTGTCCAACTATATCTCCTCATTATTGAGGCTGGCCCTCCTCCATTCTGTTCCCTGCCGTGTCTCCCTCTCCCTTCCTTCCTGCAAGCTCTTACCCAAGCCCAGAAATCTCCAAGGATTGAGGACTTGGGCACTTCACTCTTCCTAGCGGGGGACAGAGGGAGGGAGGGGAGACTGATTTGGGTTTGGGACCAAAACTACCTATCTGAATATCCCCCATCCAAGGTCCCCCCTAATAAATGAATAAGCTCTCAATGAATACGAGCTCTTCATTATTATTGTCTCAGTATTATGTATGGATGTTTGTCCAGGGTGTGAGGTCTCTGAGCTGTTTGGGGGTCAGTGACCAGGGTATGACATCTCTGAGGACCAAATCCAGGGTCATCCCCCTGGGATTCAGGGCCCTGATAGATTTCTCCTTGTTAGTTAGCCCATCCTTTTGGAATTCACCTCACTCCTTTCCAAGTGCTGTCTGCTGTGTCCTACACCCCAGATGCCTCACTGAACCTCAAGATCTCTGTGAGTTCCATGGAACCTTCAAGGACCACCCCAGATGATACGACCTCTTCCTGGAGTGCCTTATCTGACCACACCCCCAGGGTATGCGGTACTTTCTACCTTTGGATCTGTTAGGTCCAGACGCATCTCGACTGAGGCTCAGCTCCTGACAGAACAGACAGGACAAGTACAAATCTCTTTGTGTCTGTCCTCCCCCACCCCACCCCCACCAATACCATCCTTTCAATCAACTAATAAACATATATTGAGCACCCACCGTGTGCTTGGTCCTGTTCCAGACACTGGGGAGACAATATTGAACAGAAGAGATAAGCAAATCTAGGTTCGGGGATACAGAGAATGAATAAAAATAAAGTAAGGAAAATATGAAGTATGTTAGAGGATGAGAAAGGCTTTTGGAGAAAAAGAAAACATGGAAAAGAGGGAACGCAGCTGAAAATCGCTGGGGCAGTTTCTTTCTTTTTTTTTTTTTTTAATTTTTTTTTTTTTTTTTTGAGAGAGAAAAAAACAGCGAGAGAGGGAACACAAGCAGGGGGAGTGGCAGAGGGAGAAGCAGGCTTCCCGCCGAGCAGGGAGCCCGATGCGGGGCTCGATCCCAGGACCCTGGGACCATGACCTGAGCCGAAGGCAGACGCCCAACGACTGAGCCACCCAGGCGCCCCGCTGGGGCAGTTTCTGATGTGTAAGGGGATGGTCAGGGGGCCATCTTCACTGAGGAAGCCATTTGAGCACGGATCTGAGGAGATGAGGGAGGGATTGGCCCTGATAGCTGGAGGAAGAGCAGAACAGGCAGAGAGAACAACCAGTGCAAAGGCCCTGAAGTGTGCCTATGCCTGGTGCGTGAGGAACAGCGAAGAGGCCAGTGCAGAGGCAGCAGTGAGTTGCGGGGGGGCAGCAGGAGGTGAGGTCAGACAGCGGGTGGGGGAGAGATTGTGATTGTGTAGGGTCTCGGGGGCCTTGGAGAGAACTCTGGCTTTTACTCTGAGCGACTGGAGAGCAGGAGGTGGTGAGCGGAGGAGGGCCGTGATCTGACTTAGGATTTAACAAGCTCCCTCTGGCTGTTGTGAGGACAACAGGCTGTAGGGGCGGAAGCAGGGGGCACCGTGAGGGGGAGGCTACTGCAGAGGTCCGGGCCAGCGATGCCGGCGGGGGAGGTGATAAAAAGTGGTTAGATTATGGAGATATTCTGAAGACAGAGACTGGACGAGTTTGCCAAGAGAGAAAATGTCAGCAGGAGAAGAGGTCCGAGGACATTTAGAATTCTGAAACAAGGATGAACCAGGAAACGAGGCAGGCAGAGAGGAAGGGTAAGAGTACGGCTTCCTGAAGGAATGAGTGATGGATGAAGGAGCATGTCTGACGGTCTCCTGAGGTGAGCAAGCCCCTAGTCTTGTGGGCTCTGTCTCGAAACAGTCCCCAGCTGGTAGTTCAGCCAGACCCTATGAGTGAATCCCCAAAGAGCCCCAAAAAGGCTGGGGAGAGAGGATGTGTCAGGATGTGAGTTTCAGCATGTGGAAGGCTCTGCCAAAAGCTGTAGCAGGTCTCCTATTTTAATTTTTTTTTATTATTTGCTTAGTTTTATAATTAAATGTTTATTAAAATACTATAACCCAGGGGCACCTGGGTGGCTCAGTCAGTTAAGTGTCTGCCTTCGGCTCAGGTCGTGATCCCAGGGTCCTGGGATCGAGTCCCACATCGGGCTCCTTGCTCAGTGTGGAGCCTGCTTCTCCCTCTGCCTGCCATTCCCCCTGCTTGTGTTCTCTCCCTCTCTTAAATAAATAAAATCTTTAAAAAAAATAAAATATAAACTCTGAGTAATACAGATTGTTTTCAGCATGATACTGATATCACCCACTTCTCCTAGTAATAGAGGACAGCCAGATGAAACACAATCGTAGAAGGATCTAGAATAATAAATTTTATTACTAGGAGTCTCCCTTGAAGTCAGGAAACCCAACCCACTCACAGCTGAGGAAATGAATGACCAGAGAGGCTGGCATTCTCTACTCTAGAAATGGTTAGGCACTTGCTTGGTGCTGGGCACATAAAAGTAAACAGAACGTGTTTCGTGTACTCAAAGAGCTCATAGCCAGGCTCATGGGTGACAGTTCCCAGAAAGCAGGAAATTAGCACACAGCCTAGTCAGTATTGCGAGAACAGTATGCTGAAGCTCCAAGGTTCACCCAATTTGGGCTTGGGAGCAGCTCTCCGAAGGTCAAGTGTGAGAGCTAACCTGGGCAGGATGAGCATGTCACATAGACGAAGAGCTTGTGAAACAGTGCCCCAGGAAGGCCCTGGTGAGGGAAAGCATAGTGCATTTGGTTATTCAAAGGAGTTCAAGTACAAAGGAACTCCAGTCCCGGATTCTGGAGACCAGAGTCTCCTGGCTCCTAGGTCAACGCTATTTTTAGACTACCATCTGTCTTTCTAGGTCTCCTGACAAGTATGTAATGATTCACAAGTATCAATACTCTTACATAGAAAAAAGGAGGCATACATGGCTCACGCTTACCCAGGTAGAGACAGTAAGATTTTTTTGGGTGGCTGAGTAGGATTCCTGTGTGTGTGTGTGTGTGTGTGTGTGTGTGTGTGTGTGTGTGTGTGTATCACATCTTCTTTATCCATTCATCCAGACATAAAGATTTTCAAACCCTCTTGTCTGAAACATCTCCTTGAGGAATGATTGCTTTGTCTTATAGTCTTTCATTTCCTCCCCAAATTTACGTGAATTAGATCATGCCCTAAGTCCGGAAGGGACTTTAAGGAATCACTTTATTGGTAGCCAAGGGAACGAGAGGCAGGGCAGGCAATAAAGGAGTCATTATCTGTAGAGAACCCAAATACTAATACTGAAGCTGACTAAAACTGTTCTGTACTTGAACATCACCACGTGGCAGCAAGCCAGCACTTGTCCTCCCTGCCAAGGCAAAGGGCTCCTGATGACCCTCACTCCATCTATGCCCCTGCACACGCAGAAGGCCCGGCACCCCCACAAGCTATATATAAACGTCTGAAATCTCCACTTTGGCCATCTCTTCTGTTCATGTTACCGCATGTTCTCCAGTCCATTCCATTCCCTTTGGCAAACATAGCTTGAGCTGTCAAAATCACGTATACAAAAACAAAAACAAAAACAAAACAAAACAAAACAAAAAAACCTCACATCAATGCTTCTCTTCCTACAATTATGATATTGCTTTCCAGTCAAGTTTCTCGTTTCTCAAGTCTCAAGTCCCTTTCGAGCTGGGATGTGCACCTGTGCATTTGCAGGCTTACCAGGTTCAGTTCTGGCTCATCCTCTCTGGCCGGGCCATCTGGCAGGTGCTTGGTGGGGTAAACACTGAGGGGTCTTTAATGCCCAGCAGTACATTGAAAAACTGCGTGGACAATATTATGCTGTAACTCTAGGCGAAGGTTTCCTGGACAGGATAACCCTCTTTGACTGTATAAATGCCAATCCAGATTTCATAACATCTAGCTGGCTTTCTGTCAGGCCCCTCCTAGACCGTGATCTGCTCCTGGGGCCCCCTATGGAGTACTTGTCCTCAGAGGTGGCATTCTGAGGAATGTCTAGAGGGTCCCAGGGGTCTGTCAGTGTGATCTTGGAGCACTGCTTGGTGGCTTGTTCAATCTGAAACATCAATCCATCCTTATAGAACAAAATATATTCAAATAACCTCTTGCAGGGGAATCAGCACCTTTTGCTCATTCAGCACCCATACATGCTGGTTGAGCCCGTCATAGGAGGGCAGGGCATGGTTGCTGCTCTGTGGGTACAGAACCCAGTGGGCCTCCCACTGCTGTGGTGCCTGGCAAGGGTGCAGGGTCCCTGGGGCACCCCTGGTCCCTGCCCCCAGTGCTGCTGCCCCCAGGCCACAGAGGTCACCCAGGCTCAGAGGCCACCCAGTAGCCAGGCACCCAGGGTCCCCTGGGCCACGCTTCCTGCCTATTTTTAAAAGACAGCTTGCCTTGGACCCAGAGTCATATGCCTGGAGATAGATGATTTATGAAAGGAAGAAGGAAGTAGAAAGGAGGGAGAGAAGGAGGGAGGGAGGGGGGAAGGAAGGAAGGAAGGAAGGAAGGAAGGAAGGAAGGAAGGAAGGAAAGAAGGAAGGAAAGAAAGAAGGGAGGGAGGAGGGGAGAGAGGGGGGAGGAAGGGAGGAGGAGTAGACAGCAGATGGGTGAATGAATGAATGGGTACATGGATGGGTGGGTGGATGGATGGGTGGGTGGCTGGGTGGATGGATGGATGGACTGATATCCTCTGGCCCTGGAGAAACTCTTTCACTTGTGTGTGCATAGAGAGAGGAATATGAGTTTATAAATTGCAGGTTTGCTGTAATACAGAAAAGACTAGAAACAACCCAAATGTCCAACAGCAGATGAATGATTAAACAAACTATGGTATAGCCATTCCATGGAATATTACTCAGCCATGAAAGGGAATAAACTTACAAAGCTAGCACTAACCTAATACCAAAACCAGACAGAAACATATCAAGAAAACTACAGACCAATATCTCCTACGGATATAGATGCAAAAATCTTCAACAAAATACTAGTAAATAGAATTCAGCAACATATAAGAAGGATTATACACCACGACCAAGTGGGATTTATCCCAGGAATGCAAGATTTGTTCAACATAAAAAATCAATCAAGGTAATATGCCATATTAATAAAGGACAAAAACCACATGATCTTCTCGACAGATGCAGAAAAAGCATTTGACAAAACTCAATACCCTTTCATGATAAAAACACTCAACAAACTAGAAGCAGATAAGAACTTCCTCAACCTGATAAAGTGAATCTACAAAAAACCTACAGCTAATATAATACTTAATGACGAAAGACTAAAAACTTTCTCCTGAAGATTAGGAACAAGACAAGGATGTCCCCTCTCACCACTTCTGTTCAACAATGTACTAGAGGTTCTAGCCAGGGCAATTAGGTAAGAAAAAGAAAAAGCATCCAGATTGGAAAAAAGAAGTAAAACTATCAGTATTTGCAGATAACATGATCTTATACAGAGAAAATCTTAAAGAACCCACAACAAAACCACTCCCTATATATGTGTGTGTATGAGCTCAGCAAGGTTGCAGGATACTAGATCATACAAGACTTAGTCATATTTCTATACACTAGCAACAAGTAATCCAAAAATGAACTTAAGAAAACAATTCCATTTATGATAGCATAAAAAAAAAGAATAAACTACTTAGTAATGCATTTAACAAAAGATGGGTAAGACTTGTACATTTAAAACTATAAAATGCTATTTAAAGAAATTAAATAGGGGTGTCTAGGCTCCTACTGCTTGTGCTCTCTCTTTCTCTCTGATCAATAAATAAATAAAATATTTTTTAAAAATCCACTTAAAAAAAAATCCACTTTAAAAAAAAAAAACAAAAACAAATGGTGCTGGGACAACTGGATAGCCACATGCAAAAGAATGAAACTGGATCCCTACTTCACGTCATATACAAAAATTAACTAAAAAAAAAAAATCAAAGACATGAATGTAAGAGCTAAAACTATTAAACATCTAGGAAAAAAAAGCATAAATCTTCGTAACTTTGGATTAGGCAATGGTTTCTTAGACAACACATAATGCATAAGCAACCAAAGTAAAAACAAATTGCACTTCATCAAAACTAAAACCTTTTGTGCTTCAAGGGACACAAGAAAGTGAAAGGACAACCCCAAAACAGGAGCAACTATTTTCAATCACATTATCTGATAAAGGACTAGCATCCAGAATATATAAAGAACTCGTACTGGGACACCTGGGTGGCTCAGTCGGTTGGGCACCTGCCTTCAGCTCAGGTCATGATGCCAGGGTCCTGTGATCGAGTCCCGTGTTGGGCTCCCTGCTCGGCGGGGAGCCTGCTTCTCCCTCTGCCTGTCTCTCCGCCTGCTTGTGCTCTCTCTCTCTCTCTCTGACAAATATAATCTTTAAAAAAAAAAAAAGAACTCGTATTACTCAACAGTATAGACAACCCAATTAAAAACAGGCAAAGGATTTGAAAAGACATTTCTCTAAGGAAGATATACAGATGGCCAACAAGCACATGAAAAGATGCTCAATGTCAATAATCATTAGGGAAATCAAATCAAAAGCACAACGAGACATTACATCACACCCACTGGGATGACCAGAATCAAAAAGAGGAACAATATCAAGTGTTGGAGAAAATGTGGATAACTCGAAATCCTCATGCAACTACTGTGGAGAATACTTCTGCAATTCCTCAAAAAGTTAAACAGAGACTTGCCAAACGGCCCCACAATTCTGTTCCTAGGTGTATACCCAAGAGGACTGAAAACACATGTCCACATAAAAACCTTAATATGAATGCTCACAGCAGTATTATTCGTGACCCCCAAAACATCAGTTCGTTGGATGAATGGACAAGCATAATGCAGAATGTTCATACAATGAAATATTATTCAGCGAGTGAAAGGAATGAAGTAGTTTAATCCATGCTACAATGTGAGCGAACCTTGGAAATTTTGTGCAGAGTGAAAGAAGCCAGTCACAAAAGGCCACATATTCTGATTCTGTTCATATGAAAAGTCCAGAATAGGCAAATCCATGAGACAGACAGTAGATTGGTGGCTTCCAGGGACTGTGGGGAGGCGGATAATAGTATAGGGAGTGTCTGCTAATGGGTACAAGCTTCTTTTTGGGGTGATGAAAATGTCCTGGAATTAGACAGTGGTAATAGTGGTAAGACCTTATGAATATACTGACCACTGAAACGTACACTTCAAAGGGTGAATTTTGTGGTATGCGAATGACATCTCAATAAAAAAGAACTATTAATACACACAACAACGTGGGTGTCACAGACATTATGCAGAACAAAAGAAACATAAACTATACGATTCCATGTATATGAAGTTCAAAACCAAGCTGAAAACCACTGGTATCGTAAGCTGTGTATGGATACATACATACGTAGTAATGGAATGAAAACACGAGGGAGACAAACACCAAACTTGAGGTCGTGGAAGGAGAGAGGAAAACGGACTTTGTACAAGAACTTCGGCTGGATCTGAATATATTTCTTTCAAAAGTATCTGAAGCAAATACATACGGCAAAATGTTTGACCAAGGTGAATGCTTGTTACAGTATCTTTTATACTTTTCTCTCAGGAAAACAACAACAACAACAACAACAACAACAGCTCGGTTCTGAGACAAACGTGGGACTCCTCAGCCAGGCTTTGGTTGATGTTTCCTCCCTGCGCGATTGAGACCAAGGGGAGTTAGGTTCTGCCTCTGGCCTGGTGGACTCATCTGGAAGAAGCACAGTTCACATGCCATGGGCTTGGACAAAGCTCTAGAACCTCAGAAGATGCCAGGAAGAAGGGAACCAGTCAGGGAAGCCTTCCAGGAAGAGAGGATGTTGGGGCTGAGCCTCAAATGGAGGCCTGACAGAGGGGATGCTTGGCCCGGACACCCCACCCCCACCCCCACCCTCTGGGTCTCTCCCAAAGCCTGGCCTGGCCCTGCTGATTCCCTTATCTGCCCACTCCCAGCTGCCTCCCTGCTGGCTGAACTGTCGCCGCAGACTTCTGTGCCTGTGCCCCCTCCACGGAGATGGGGGAGGGAATGGGGTGAGCCTGGCCTCAGAGCCTCAGAGCCTCAGAGCTTCTGGCTCTTGACGGAGCCTGGGTCCTGAGGCCCCCACTCCCCACCCTTTACTTCCCTTCCTAAGGCCTTTCTCTGCTCCAGTTATGAAGAAGAGTCCAGTGGCTGAGTCCAGTGGCCAAACTCTTGTCTGAGACATGCCTCCAGCCTGACCTTCCTGAGGAGGACAGATTTCCCTATCTTGCTCCCAATATTGCAACTGTTGTTTCTAATAAAAACTAACAACGAAGAGAGTTACCACTACAGAGTTCATCCTCTATGGTGTCCCGGGCAGGACCCGTGTCAAGTGGCCTTCTCAACAACATTTGCTGTGGGTTCTATGATTGTACCCATCATCTAGGCAAAGAAACTGAGGCTCCGAGGGTGGCCTGCCCGGGAACTACCCAGCAAATCAGTGTCAGAGCTGAGCACAGGCCCTTGGACAGACATCTTCATTTCTCTGAGCCCACTCCCCGTCTGGAAGATACGGGCAATTATACGCACTTATACCACAAAGACCTGGTGAGAATGGGATAAAATTAGGCAGGGAGAGCACTTAGCACAGGGCCTGGGGTGGCTCGGTTAACAGTTGTTATGACGATATTAGTGCTAAAAAAAAAAAAAAAGTATTTGTATCAGAATTAGCATTCGTTATTAGTACGGTTGTAGATAGAATTAGAAAAATAATTAGATTTAGAATTAATATCAGTATTACGAGCACTATTAAGATTAGTACCGGGACGCCTGGGTGGCTTAGTCATTAAGCGTCTACCTTCGGCTCAGGTCATGATCTCAGGGTCCTGGGGTTGAGCCCCGCATCGGGCTCCCCGCTCAGCGGGGAGCCTGCTTCTCCCTCTCCCACTCCCCCTGCTTGTGTTCCCTCTCTCGCTGTCTCTCTCTCTGTCAAATAAATAAATAAAATCTTAAAAAAAATTAGTATCAATATTTGAATCAGGATTAGGAATTAAAATTGGTATGAGTGTCACACTGATTAGCATTATTACCCGAATTAGTAGTGCTAGTAAAAAAAGGGTCAAGTACCATCCCTTGTATACAGTAAGTACTCAGTAAATCAATAAGAGTACTTAAAGTTTATTGAGATCTCAGATTCAAGCGAGTTAAAATCACTTGATGGATTAAATCTCATTTAGCTGTCCCAATCACCCTATGGAGTAGCCACTATTATTACCCCATCTCCATAGATGAGGAACTGAGGTCCAAGGGGGCTGGTAACTTGCCCAAGGCCACACGGCCCCTCCGTGGCTAGGGCAGGCTATGAATGAGGGGGGCTGGCTCCAGAGTGGAAGCCCTGAAAACATCGCCCCTTAAGTCATAGGGGTCTTCACCCCCCCTTGTTACTTAGGAGGGCTCAGCACAGGACATGGCACACAGCAGGAGCTCAACAAATGCAGAGTCATAGCCATGCTCTCTTTCCTCCTCAAACCTCCCATTTTGCTTCTGAGGACAACGAGGCCCATGGAGGCAAAAGGAGGATAGCAAGCTCCTTCTGGGGCGGCCGGTGGGGGAGCAAGCCCCACTGACCCAGGGCTCTGTCAGTGCCCTGTGCCCTTGGCAGGTCTCAGTCTCCCCATCTGTAGAATGGGTGGTCAGGAGGGTGCTCCGTCCTGTGGAGTCCTGGGGCCACCACTGGGTGCTCTTACCCCTGCTCTGTGGGGACCCGAGTTGGATGCCTCGTGTGGGCGCGTGTCCATTGATTTTACACGGAGCAAGTGCTCAGGACAGGCTTGGCCTGGGGTCTGTGTCAGCATGAAACACCGGTTGCCGTCACTGTTGTTCCTCTCTGGGGGAGGTGGGGCAGGGCAGAAAGGTGGGGACTGAGGTGCGGGAGTCCTGGAAGTCCCTCTCAGCAGTTGAGGGCAGAGCCACCGATCACATGGGTCCACATCGACCCACATGGCCCTGTCCCACCCACCCCAGCACCACCGGCCCAGGGCTTACCCCAGACTGACACCTGGGGTCTCGTGGACTTCCTCCTAGACTGTGTCCGTGAATCTCTCTCTGTCTCGGTCTCCCTTCCCAAGTTCTCCACCTGTGTCCTTAGCCTCTGTCACTTCCGGGCTCTACCTTTTGCCTTCTGTCCTGCCTCTCATTCTCTTCGCTTCTCTCTGTAGATCTTCAATTGTCGCCGGCTCTCTTGGCATCTCTCCCCCGTCTCCGTACCCTCTCTCTGCCTCCTTCTAGCTGTGTCCCTTTTTCTGCCCGAGTCTCCCCCTTCCTGTCTCTGTCTCTGCTTCTGTCTCTTGCTATCTGCCTCTCTCCCTTCTCTACCCCTTCAGTTCTTCTTCCTTCCCTTCCCCAATCCTATCCCACTCCTCAAGGACCCACAGAGAAACCAACCCTGGGTCCCACCTGTTTCCCGCCTCCAAAGCAGCATGGCGGGCAACAAGTTGAAGCCGCTGTCCCTGGGTGCCCCCCCCCAGCCCCGCCCCCCCCTCCCCGTCCCAAGACAGCCTGTTACCGCGGAGCCAACAGCCACAGTCTCCTCCATCTGATAAGACTTATCTGCTGCCCCAGGGCAGGCCAGAGCTGGCGTAAGCCCCAGTGGGGCACTGAGTGAGTGTGCCCCTGCCTCCCGCCAGCCCTGGCCTGGCCCAGCCTCCAGGCTGGGCCTGGGTCATCAGAATGTCCCATGGGCTCTGGTTCAAATCCCACCGAACCTCTGTGAGCCTCATTCTTCTCGTCTGCAAAATGGGTACAGTCACATCCCTCCTCTCCCTGTTGGCCAGTAAGATTCACGTACGTAAGTGGCCAAGCCCGAACCTGACCCAGCACACAGGAGGGACTTTGGAAACACTCACTGAGAAACCTAGTGGAGTCATAAAACCGTATCTGGTATTTTTGTTATCTTGGCTTCAGCCCATTTTGTTTGGCTGGACACTGAAGTCCACGGGAGCCCAAGTTGAACAGGGTCCAAGAATCCGTGGGGTGGGCAGATGGGGCAGAGGAAGGCCCCCACTGCCCAAGAGGTGCCCCACCAGCAAGGAGCCCGCCCCCTCCCCTGGTCCGCCCCACCCACTGGGGCACCAGCCACTCCCTGGGGAGGAGGGAGGAGGGAGAGAGGAGGGAGGGAGGGAGAGAAGGAGGAAGGGAGCCTCAAAGGCCAAGGCCAGCCAGGACACCCCCTGGGATCACACTGAACTCGCCACATCCCCAAAGCGGCTGAACCCTCTGCACCAACCAGCCCAGGTCAGTCTCAGCCCCCTAAGAGCCCCCAGCAAGGCAAACCCCAGGCCTGCTGTCCCTTACCTCAAGGCTACTCCTCCAGCCTGCTCCAGGGTCCCCAACCCACCACTGGTCCCCAAAGTGTCTACTGCCCCTGAAGCCCTTCACAGCTCCTCCAAACCATCTGTCTTTCCAACCCCCATCTCTGCCCTAAAACCACCCCCCAAAACCGACCTCTTTCTGCCCTGACTTCCATCCTCTCCTTCCAAGATATCTGTTCCCCTGATGGCTTAACTCTGCTCCCCACACCCCATTCCTGCCCCCTACAACATGCCTTTCTCCCCCAAATCCTAGCTCTGCCCCGAATCTGGCTTTCACGCACCTGGAATTGTTTCTGTCTCTGAGTTCTCCCAAAAACTCACTTTTGCTCCCCTATGCCTATTTCTGCTCCCCAAGTCCTTGTCTGCTCCCCATCCTGGTTTCCGCTCCAAATTTTCCAGTCCCCTAAACCCTGGCTTCATCCTCTTATCTCCGTCTGTGCTTCTCAAAGCCCCAGCTTGTTCTCTGTGACTTCTCTCTGAGCCCCCCAAACCACTACTCTCCCCCAGCCCTTTGCCCGCACACCAAAATGTCTGACACTCTAAACGCCAAGTCTACTACCCCAAGTCTGTTCTACCACATGAATCCTCCTCACGCCCGCCTTCCCTAAACCCCATCTCAGCCCCCAAACGTTGTCTCTGGCCCCCCGGATCTCCTCTGGCCTCAAATTTTTCTCCACCCCAACTCCATCTCGGTTCTCAAACTCCTCTTCTGCTCCCATAATCCATCTTTATCAGACACACTCCTGCCTGTCCAAACCCACCTCTGACCCCTAAACCCCGTCTCTGCTCCAGCAAAACCCACGGAACCCTCAAACATGTCCACGACCCTCAGAATCCATCTCTGAACCCCGAACTACATCCCCAGCTTCTCAACGTTCTCTCTGGCTCTCAACCTTCACCTCAGATCCCCAATCTTGTGTTCTCCTTTTCCAACCTATTTCTGATCCCAAAACGTGACCTTTCAAATTTGTCTCTGCTCCTCAAACCCCATATCTGCTCTCCCCAAACTCTACAGCTATACCCCCAACCCCTCCCTGACTCCTCCACCCCATCTGATCCTCAAATTCCACCTCAAAGCCTCCCAAGACTCATCTGCTCCCAGACCCCATCTCTGCTCCCTTCAGTCCCAAGGGACCCTCCCTTGAGGGCTGGGACAGGGATGTTACCTGGGGTGAGGGGCTGGACCTTGGGAGAGCTGAGAGTGCCGGCCTGCTGCCTGCTGCCCGTCAGGGCAGCACTTACTCTAGTGGAGCAGCTGATAAGGAGCTTTCATATCCCCCAGCCTCGAGATAAACTTTTATCTCTGTCCGGAGAGTGATAACTGGGGCTGGGGGGCTGGGCCCCTGCCATAGGAGGGGTGGGCAGCCCTGGACCCGCCAAGGTGCTAGGTGCAAGGATGTGGGGCAGTGGGACTGGAGGGAGATCACTGGGGGGGAGGGGGGAGTTGAGGATGAGGCGGGATAAAGGAACAGTGGTGACAGAGACAAAAAGAACGAGACAGAAAAGGAAGAGAGGGAGAGAGGGAGAAAAAGAGACAGAGACAAAGAGCAAGGGACAGACAGGAAGAAAAAAAAAGGAGAAACAGAGGGCCACCTGGGTGGCTCAGTCATTAAGCATCTGCCTTCGGCTCAGGTCATAATCCCAGGGTCCTGGGATCGAGCCCAGCATTGGGCTCCCTGCTCTGCGGGAAGCCTGCTTCTCCGTCTCCTGCTCCCCCTGCCACTGTTCCGTCTCTCACTGTGTGTCTCTCTCTGTCAAATAAATAAATAAAATCTTTAAAAAAAAAAAAAAAAGAAAAGAAAGGAGAAACAGAGAGATAGCAGGAAAGTGAGAGACCCAGGAACAGAAAGAGAGCGCAGAAAGAGAGAGCCTCAGATCGAAAGAATCGTGGAGAGACACAGAGGAAAAGAGATGGAAATAGAGGAGGAGGCAAGACATCCACTCCGGGGAGAGTCAGAGGAGGTCCGGGGGCCTGGACGAGGCTGGTGGCAGACACAGCCACGGGCTCCTCTCTTTGCCCGCACAACCCCCAACCCTGAGCCCAACCTTCAGCGTGTTCACACAGTGGGTCACGTAGGCTGGGGCTGTGAAGATGGCCTTCTACTGTATCTCTGTTACTCCACCCCAAGGACAGGGAAACTGAGGCCTTCAGATTCATAGGGCAAGTCAGGGGCAAGGGTAGCTTTTCTGGCTCCTCACCCGGGCTGTGTGTAGTGGGGCATGGGCAAGGATGTGGGACTAGTAAGACAGACATGGAAATAAAGCCAGAAGGCAGAAAGACAGAGAGACAGAGAGAGAGAGAGAGAGAAAGAGAGAGAGAGAGAGACGAGACAAGCCGAAAGAGACTGAGTGGGAGAGATGTAGAGACATTCAGAGACACTACTGGAGAGGGAGGAAGAACTGAAATGGAAAGAGGTGAAAGACACGGAGATAAAGATGGAGAGAGACAACCAGAGATAGAGACATGGAAAGCCAGAGAAAGGGAGGGGGAAAATTAGGCACTCGTTAAAGCAGAGAAAGAGAGGGGCACCTGGGTGGCTCAGGCGGTTAAGTGTCTGCCTTCGGCTCGGGTCATGATCCCGGGGTCCCGGGATCGAGCCCCGCATCGGGCTCCCTGCTCGGCGGGGAGTCTGCTTCTCCCTCTCCCTCTGCCTGCCGCTCTGCCTACTCGTGCTCTCTATCTTTCTGTCAGATAAGTTAAAAAAAAAAAAGGCAGAGAGAGAGGACAAGACATATCATGGCAGCATAGAAAGAGGGGACAGAAATATCGAGGGCCGGGCTGGGCAGGAGAGAGTATCACAAGGAGAGAGACACGGGGACATAGATACACACACAGGGAAGGCCAGAGACAAAGCGGCAAAGACGAAGCCGCCATCTCACAGGTCTTAGCTGGGCCCCCGTCACCACCACCTATCTGGCAGATGGGGAAACTGAGGCCTGGGGCTGGCTGGAACTGAAGGAATCTGAAAGCAGAACTATGGTAGGCCTCCCCAGGGCAAACCTGTCCCCCTCCTCAGAGGAAGCCAGTAGCCTTGGGGTGATTTCAAAAGTTGGGCGGGGATGGCAGAGATAAGCCGTGGGGGGTACTGACCCCCCCATGGAGCAGGGAGGAACTGAGGGGGCCCCTGTGTGCAGACCCAACGGAGGTGGGGGGAGGGAGGAGTCAAGCCGGAAACCATGGGTTTCTGAGAAAGTCAAAATATGCAACAGATAGGGATGAAGTTGGGGAGCACAAGAGGGTAAACCCCAAGGTCCCAGGGGTGACAAGTGGCTCAAGGGACTGTAGCTCTGCACCCCAGCCCGTCCCCCCCAGACTCCTCTAGAGGGAGAGAAGGGGAGGAGGAGGGAGAGAAAATGAGGAGAGGAGAAAGTGATGAGCAGAAAGGGAGGGAGAGGAGAAGAACGGAGAAGGAGGGGGGGGACAGGCAGGGGGGGGGAAGGAGAAAATGGGGAGGGGAGGGGGACAGGAGGAAGAGGCGGCTGGCTCAGAGGAGGGAGAGCAGGAGGTGAACAGGCGGGGGTAGAGAGAGGGGAGGACCGGCGAAAGAGAGAATGAGGGGGTGAGGGGCCGGGAGGGGGGAGAAGAGGGAGGGGGAAGAGGAGCAAGGGGGGGGGAGAGGCGAGGGGAAAGAAGGGGAGTTGTGGGAGGAGGGAAAAGAAGAGATGGGAGGAGGGCGAGAGGAGAAAGGGAAGCAGGAGGAGAGAAGAGGGACTAGAAGGAAGGAGGGGATGATGGAGGGGAAGACAGGGAGAGCTCGGGACGGAAAGAGGGCCATGAAGGCTGAGGGCGTGGGGCTGGAGCCGGAGAAGGGGCGGTGGGGGAGGGGAGGAGGAGTTTGGAGTCTGAGGACCTCTCCCGTCCTCACAGGTCCCACCCGAGGCCCCATGGAGTTCCCTGGCCTAGGGGCCCTGGGGACCTCAGAGCCCCTGCCCCAGTTTGTGGACCCGGCTTTGGTATCCTCGCCCCCAGAGTCGGGGGTCTTCTTCCCCTCTGGGCCGGAGGGCTTGGATGCAGCAGCCTCCTCCACGGCCCCCAGCACCGCCACGGCTGCAGCTGCGGCTCTGGCCTACTACAGGGATGCCGAGGCCTACAGGCACTCCCCAGGTAACCCCTTTGGGTGGCTGTCTTAGCGCGGGCTGCCACGGTGACCCTTAGCTAGGGCAGAATCCCACCAAGAGGTCATCTTGACCATGGCCACTTCCCCCAGTTGAGCCCAGACCTAGGAATGCCAACGCTCCCCGTCTGCCATCTTGGGGTAGCCATACTGGAAAGCAACATCGGAAGTGGGTGGTGGTGGCCCTAGTTGTCAAGGGACCCATGGGGCTCCGAACCCCAACGGGCATCCTCAAAGCCCCTTTGGAAACGGGTGGAGGTTACCGCAGCTGCCAGAGTGACCAGTGGGGCTCGGGACCCGGGAGTTACCCGACGGCCAGCAGCTGCTCCGGTGGCCTGTGGGAAGACTGGAGACTTGGCTGCTCCCTCCGAGCTGCGGGGCAGCACTGTGCCCTGAAGGCGGGATGGTTTTAGACTGATCCCGCCTTCCTTCCCATACCCCGCCACCCTAATAGTCTTTCAGGTGTACCCACTGCTCAACTGTATGGAGGGGATCCCAGGGGGCTCACCCTACGCCGGCTGGACCTACGGCAAGACGGGGCTCTATCCTGCCTCGACCGTGTGCCCCACTCGCGAGGACTCCCCTCCCCAGGCCCCGGAAGACCCCAATGGGAAAGGCGGCAGCAGCTTCCTGGAGACCTTAAAGACAGAGCGGCTAAGTCCAGACCTCTTGACGCTGGGGCCTGCACTGCCTTCATCCATCCCTGTCCCCAGCAGTGCCTATGGGGGTCCTGACTTTTCCAGTACCTTCTTTTCTCCCACTGGGAGCCCCCTCAATCCAGCGGCCTATTCCTCCCCCAAGCTTCGTGGGACACTGCCCTTGCCCCCCTGTGGTGAGGTCCCCAAAAAGGAACGGGGAGGCTGAGGTGGGGGGGCGTCCAAGGCCAAGCAGGGCTGAGCCTGGGCTCCCCCACCCCCTCTGTCCACCCCATCAGAAGCCAGGGAGTGTGTGAACTGCGGAGCAACAGCCACTCCCTTGTGGCGGCGGGACAGGACGGGCCACTACCTGTGCAATGCCTGTGGCCTCTATCACAAGATGAATGGCCAGAACAGGCCCCTCATCCGGCCTAAGAAGCGCCTGGTAAGACCCCGGGCCCGCCTCCCCTGCCCCAGGGACGGCTGTTCTCGGCCTGTACAGGGACCCCGGTCCTCCTGCTCCACGAGAACCCATACGCCCCCCGCCCATCCCTTCCCCAGCCATGCGGGCACCCAGCTTTGCGTAGGCGTGCCTATCCTCGACCTACCTTCATAGGGTACGTGCGGGAACCCCGTCCTGTCCCTGCGCAGCAGTGTTTTCCTCCTTGGCTTCACATGGGACTCACCTTAGGACACCCTGAACCACCGGGGCCTGGCGCCCTCCCCTAGATGTGTAGATTTCATTGGCCTAGGGTGCCGCCTGGGCCTCAGGATCGCCTTCGACTCCCTGAGTGATTCCAATGTATGGTCAAAGTTGGGAATCACTGGTGGAGTCTCACCCCCAATACCAAAATCCCCTATCCTGGCCAGGAGGCCCTGCCCCATGCAGAAAACCCACAGTCATCGTCCCGTGAGTACATCTGTTCTTGCCCTGCACGGGAAGCCCTGCCTTCAACCTGACCCTGACCTCTCGGGTCCTCCACCCACCCCCGCGGTGGGCTGATCCTCACATTCTCTCTCCCCCTAGATTGTCAGCAAGCGGGCGGGTACCCAGTGTACCAACTGCCAGACAACCACCACGACGCTATGGCGGAGGAATGCCAGTGGGGACCCTGTGTGCAATGCCTGTGGCCTCTACTACAAGCTACACCAGGTTTGTCCTGTCCCGTTCCCCTGCCAGCCTCCCCCCTCCTCCTGTCATCCCACTGCCCTCCTCCCCTGCTCTTCTACCCCCACCTCTGCTTCCCCTCATAACCCTCCCTTTTCTCCCCCACTTTTCCTGCCCCCTCCTTCCCTCTCTATTCCCCTCCTCCTTGGCCCTCACCCCTCCCTCCTTCATCCCTTCGCACCCTTCCACGACCTCCTGCCCCTCCTCCCGCCTCGATCTCCTTCATCCTCCTTCCCAGCCATTCGCTAACTTCCATCCCCCTGCCCCGAAACCGGAGCCAGCTCCATCAGCCTCAGAGGCTTTCCCAAGCTCAGGGCCTCACAACCTTGGGATTCCTTAGGACAATCCCTGCACCACATCAGGGTCACGCTCCCTAGTCCCTGAAGCAATTGTCCATGCTTAACGAGGTGGGACGGAGACGGCCTCCCTGGTCAAGACAGAGGGGTAAAGATTTGGAGTCGGGAAACACTCACGGCCTCCCTCTTGGCAGGTGAACCGACCACTGACCATGCGGAAGGATGGTATCCAGACTCGAAACCGCAAGGCGTCTGGAAAAGGGAAAAAG